ATATAAGAAAATAAGATTTACACAAAAGTTTTGTGGTTCTGAAAGAGACATAGTGACTTTTTTTGCGAATATTGATATGTACGAGAATTCATATAGATAGGAGATTTATTTTCCGAAATATTTTGCATTTTAATCAGATACACTTCAATGCAAAATTTGGAACATTACGTAAACTATTCATTTTTCAACAACTTCACCTAAGTACTTTTGCACAAGAGAAATCGACTGGTGATGTTAATCTTTGCACACTATCAATAAATTTGCAAAATACCATGGAATTTTGTTTAAGATTTCTCTATGTTTCTTTCTCAATCAATCAATTTCACTTGTCATTCTACGTTAAAAATTATTAAGATAAGCAAGATAATCGAAAAATGAATGTTTAACGAAATATTTCATATCATGAACTAAAAGGTATTAGACTTAAGTGAAAAATATCTCGGAAATTATTCACTTTTCGATCATTTTACCTCAGAACTTTTGCACGCAGAATGATCAGAGGAATTTATTTGTGTAAAAAACGGATCCAATTAAAAAAATTTTAAGTGTTCTTGAAATATCCTACATATATACTTATACTTACAAAAGAACCGTTCTCGCTACATTACGCGCGTTCACTTCGAAACCATAAAACTTTTTTAAATATTTTCCTATACCGTTTGAAATATCAAACGGTGATAGTGGGACTGAACAGAGTTATTGCCCTACTCTGTACGTGCTAAATTTGTTCGACCAAAATGGACGTCGTCCCTGAAGCTTCACACTCTGCACGCATTCCTACGTCCATGCGTCGTTCTGTATTCTGACGTTTAATGACGATCGAGCGTCGCTGCAGCGGCATCTCGTGATGCGTGCAGTTTCCTTCACCTCTCCAACCCGTGGCAAAAAGCTATTAAATACGGAGGACAACCACGGCGAAGACGCAGACGCATTCTGCGAATCTCATTGACGGCAAATTAAATATTCCTACTGTAGCAATATAGACGACGAGAAACGCGAATCAAACGCGGTCAATCCCGTCTGTTGCTCGAAAATGGCAAGGACAGCATATGAAGAGAAAGAAATTAAATTAATTAAATGAAATTCAGAATGATATTGCGCGGTTAGATTCACCCGCTAAACGACACATCATGAATATTAAATAAAAAAATTATTAAATAAACATAAATAAACATTTATTAAATAAAAAAAGAATAAATTAAGATAAAAAAGCGATAAAAAACGCTGTGTTTTCACAAGAAAGAATGTTTGCGAGACATCGCAAAGTTTCGAAATTATTACCGAGACTAGCGTTTCGAGACTGTAATGATTTACTGATCAATTATGTAGTTCCTTATTTATTGATTTAATTGAACAGGATAGACAATCCTTTTTTAACACATTGATCAATGACGATCTGAGACGCGCCGGGAATTTGAATCAACAAAAGTCAGAGGCCGTATTTTGAACGTGTACTGCAAACTAAAGATGCCTTTCTGACTCTCAAAGCGTTGTATATAGACAAAATATTATATAGCAAAAGTGACAACAAAATTCTTATAATCTTAAAACACACAGAATATGACCAAAATTAATATATGTTCGTTAAAAAATGTTACATACGCTTGACTTTTTGCTACAAAATTGTCGCAAATTTATTATTTCTATTGTAAAATTTATACTACAACTTCAGTATAGTCCAGCTTCACAAAAAATATTATAAAGAGAAATATAATTTTAACGTGACTTTTACTGCAACATTTTCTCCGTGCATGTACATTCGTAGAGGAAAACGGAACTCAAAGTCATTCAGAGCAGCACGGTTGTTTCGCGCAAAAGTTCGCTCTCTCATCTTTCATGCTGACTCGCTATTTGAGTTTTCAATGTCCGATTGATTTTCGCGACTTGTCGTGTTAATCGAGCTATAACGATGCGGAAAATCCGCCATGTGTACATCGCCGCGAGACTTAAATGATTTGCACGGTCGTTAACCTTCCGTCGTGTTTCCTCATTCGCCGTCAAACAAATGATCGGAAGCAACTTTTCATGCCAGGGGGAAGAAATTAGACCTCGTCTACACATTAATCGCGGCTCATTGAGATTACACGAGTCTTTGTTACCTAATCCAAGCGTAATGTATCCTTCCCTACTTTTAACGGGATTTCTACTTGGCGTAAAAGGCGTTACATAAAGTTCCATTATAGAATATATGTACAAAACATTCTCGCGAGAAATGTTTGCGCTGGAATCAGGTTTGATCCTTCCTTCATAAATATCAATAGAAAAGAGCGTTAGATCAAGAAAGAACTCGAAGAAAAAAGAAAAAATCCGCCATATCGACGCTGATACTCACACATACACATACACAACAGACGTTTTGCGCGCACTCATTCGGTTCGAACGACCCAGCGACGTCGAGAGAATCACCATTGTCTTATTATCGACGATGACAATGGCATGGCAAGGTGTTTTACCGAATTAACCGCCGGAAACGATTAAGCCATGCGCGAAACGGACTTACGAAGTCGGTGACTTGTGCCCTTGTGACTCGCAATTAGTCAGCTAATACAGCACACTAAGCGTCGAGATCACGTGCCGCTGAATTGCTCAGCAAACAGACGCCGAAGTCGAAAATTGCGGACCAACGGGAACATCTCGGTCACGGAAATAAGCCGAAGACTAAGCACATGGGTGCGTACGTGTGTTTCACTTCTATGTAGGTCGCGTTGCGATTACCATCATAATTCGCAAGGAAATCGCGTGGAGTACTTAAAAAATGGAACTCTAATTGTAAAATGGTTTTTCCTTTAATCCCGTATTCTAAGCAAAAATTTTTATCAAAAGAGTATTCCTCTTCTAACGTAGTGGAGTATTAATCGAAAATCTATTAGATATTACCTCAATTTTTCTTTTCACTTAAATCAAGGGAAATATGCTGAACTTGAAGCAAAATACCCGTTTAAAAATTTTTGTTAAGAAATGCTATTAAGAATGTCTTCTTAGAAATTTCTATTAAAAACAAGATTTGTACTGTAGATAAAAAATGAAATTCCTTCAATTTTATAAAAAAATATTTGCATATTTATTTGTGAAACACATAAAGTTTATTCTTGAAGTAAAATTTATTTTTCTGCGAATAAACTTCATATCCTACGAATAAATTCTCAAGTATTTTCCTCGATAAAAGAATGTTGTGCTAAAAATATATTCTTTTTATTTTACTGAAAAAAATACTTGAAAATTTATTCATGAAGTATAAAATTTATGTCTATACAATAAAAATTTCTATGTAAAATAAACTTTTATCCCACAAATAAACTTTCAAGTATTATATATTTTTCTAAATGCTTTAGAAAAACCCTTTCGAAGCTTGAATGTGAAAATAAGATCCTCTAGGATTCAGAGAATTCCGCTAAGAATGAGATTTTTATTTTTTCGAAGGTGAACAAATATCTTGCATATATAATATTTTACATACTTAATATTTTAATAAGACAAAGCTCAATACTGCGAGAATTATGCAGTCATCTAGAATAAGTCGCAATCTATGCGCGACAGTCACAAAGAATGATAATCTGACTCTTAGAGTTAGGCAACGCTCTCCTAAAGTTAACGCAAGCCTCGTAAAAACGTATTCTTACGTAGTTCCTTATAAAACACTCTTCGTATAATGAGCAAGATGCAAATAAGAAACATCAGGAAGAAGATGCTGGAACAGGCGTACGCGAGCGCATGAAGTAATAAGCGACGAAGAGCCACGGCAAGGTAGCATGACGCGCTCGCAGGGGACCAGAAACGCAAAATTACGTCAAGCATTACGCGCGGAAGTTGATATAAGCGATGAAGAGGAAGTTAACGCGCGTCAGGATTGACAGCGCGGGAGCAGAAGAAGCGGAGAAAGTGATCTCGCGATGCCGAAACGGACCTCCGCACTGACGTGCCGCGAGGAACGGCCTTTCGCGAGTTAACAACAGGTGGTGGGAAGGTAACTACGGTGCGCCGAGAGATGAGCGAAAGCGCGTCCGCGGTGCGCGCGTGGTCGAATCCGCTTCTCCGGAGGATCGGCCTCATCGGGCGATCGCGAAATAACAGCCGGCTAAAGCGTCGCGGTGAAGTGCAATAACGTAAAGTGCACGAGCGCTCCTCTCTATATCCTAAAGGATTCGTTATCGTAGACACTTGCGCTTTCGTGTTTATGCCCGGTGTTCGCTTGGTCACTTAAAAGCTGCCCTCTCAGATACAGCATGGAAAAGAAATCTCAGTTAGTGAAATAGAATAGGGATCAGACGGAACTTCGATGGCGAATATTGTTATCGCGACTAAAAATATTCGTCAGAATATTTGACTATGTTGAAACTCGGTTGTTATCACATCGTGATAATCGTAAAAGTCTATATGCGCAAAAGTCTATATGTTCCTTCAAATAATTACTCTCTTGTTCTCTCCCTTTTAATCTTTCAGTTCCATTGTTCTTTCAGTTTCATAAATAGCTCGTCCCGACCCTGATGGACTGATACACGTAAATTTTACAGTAACTTTAAGTATACACTGAGAGAAAAATATTTGGTATTTGTAACTATAATCATATAGAGAAATAATTACTATAAATTATTGGGCCTAATTTGGTACCAACTATATTTTTTGGTTGTTCTAACATGAAAATAATAGTAGTAACATGCATATAAGGTTATTATCACTAAAATTATAATACAATTGACTAAAAAATAATTGTCTTGACCATAATTTATAGTAATTATTTCTCTATATAATTATAGTTACAAATACAAAACATTTCTCTCGCAGTGTAGAAGTGTATTTAAGTATATAAAATTAAAATATATAAAATGTATAAAAGTCTCTTATGAATGATCATTCATATTTATCACATAGAATGACGAAATAAGAATACAAAAAAGAAATACGAAAAAAATGATCGAAGTTTGCTCATAACAATATGTCATGCAAAATATAATATAAAAATCTGAGTATAATTTTTAATAAATTTGTTACTATGTCAATGCAACGAAACATTTACATTGCATGATATAAAATCAACGATCAATCCAATTCAGAATACATTTATTTCATAAGTGCAGTTAAAAAAGAACTATAAAGTTTTCGTCATCGATTGTCTCATATCATGATAGTCATGATATGTCATGATATCATGATGAGATATCATGATAGTCATAAAAATCTGGGCAGCGTATCCTTTCGTGTCAGATCATTATTCGAAGCTGTTTCTATCCTCCATATTGCTGACCCGAGATAGCCGCAAGGCGCGAGAGCGTCGTCGTCGCGTGGATCATCGGCTGGGAATCCCGAAACGGAAGACAGAAGGGAGAAAATTATTGCGGGGTCGAGGAGTCCGAGAAGAGTCGAGGGCATGGCTGAAGAGGACGCGACTCGAGGAGCAGCAACAGGTGGAGGAGGGAAGGCGACGAGGGGTTCGCGGCGCGTGAGCCACACCGGGTGGAGGGAAAGCCTTTGTCGAAAAGAGATAAGCGAGGGCCCGCGAGGTAAGGTGCGAGCGGGATGGCGCTACGAGTTGTCGACGGGCACAAGTCCGAGTCTCTGGTCCGAGTCCCCCTCGCTTCAGTCTCGCGTCAGAACTCGGCTCGAAAGTCGCGGAAGACGGTATCGGCGATCGATCGGTCGGTTGCTCGCTTGGCTGGCTGACCGACTGGCTGGCTGCAGCTCGAGCAGTTCGCGATCAGTCGTCAGTCTCGTTCGTTCATTCATTCATCGTCTTCGTCGACTAATAAGCATCGCGAAAAACCTCTCCTCTCAGAGGGTGCATCTGGTGTCGTCCGCGTGGTCAGTGCGTGAGCGAGATAACGTTGGGATTAGGGATCGTGGGGAGTCGTGCCAACTGCGAAACCCCGATGCTGCCGGTCGCCAGCTCTCACCGTCTCTCGACTGCGCCGACCTCCGACCGAAATCACCAGTGAATTCGGCGGACCTCGACGCGAGCACAGAGACCTTGAGGCGGATAACACCGCGGGCTTACAAAAGGTACGACCTTGAGATATAAACTCGGTGTACCTCTGAATGCTGTTTATGTAAGATAGAGAATACCGCGGAGACACTGACTCTGAGTAAGATGCTATTGGAGTTTTGATCTCGTTAATTGCACTTAGGGTGAAGTTTATTACAACCACTTATTAGCGTCTCGCAGACAGGCAGAAGGTTGAAGAGATCAGTATTATTTGACTTTCCAGACAGCACAAACTACTAAAAGGTGTTTTAAAGACGTCCAAAAGACATCTAAGAGAAATAGAACGTATTTATGACATCATTTAATATAGATTGTGCTATCTATGTAAGTTATTTAGTGCTCAATTATAGGTTATATCTTAGTAAATTTTTATGTGGACATAGATAATAGTGTGACTTTTAATCTGCGATTTATTTTCCGCTTAACGCACTAATTCCAGAGTCTTTAACAAAAGTTAACAAAAGTTAACAAAATTAACAAAAGTAAGAAAACGACCATACGAATATAATCTAAGAAGTTATAAATCAAAAGTTAAGAAGTTTCAAAGCCAACTATTAAAAGCCACCTTTATGTAATTAGAAGATAAAATCGCTATGAAGTGAATCGAGCGTGTTCACCTCATACGGGAATAATAGAACGAAACAGAGCAATCCCATTGTTTACACGTTAAGATACGAAAAAGTATCAACGAAAAATGTAATAACGAAAAAGCGCTATCTCAACCGATGACGCATCCATTGACTGTGCATGAGAGAGTACGAGAAACGGTAGGTTCTTACGAGAAGCGAAGAATCCTAATTAGAATGAGGTGTATAAATGGCGCGGACAGTTCGTTCGCGACTGAACTGCCAATCTATGGAAGTGCGAAGAAACATTTACGAGAAGTCAATACCGCTCCATAATACTCTTCACTTTCGAGAGTCTCGTGATACCTCGAACCTCCTCAAACAGCCCATTATGTCCTACCAATATAAGCGCAGCAACCGATGAGAACTCGCAAAATTATTACCACGTGGAGCAGATTATCTGATCGACTAATTTTTGTGAACGCAACTATACCAGGTTATAAATAATTTTCTTTATTTACAATGTTTAGTATATGGTCCGATGAAAATTTTGTGAAAATGGTTTTAAAAAATATCAAAAAATATCCAAGTTATATACAGGATGTCCCGTGAGGCTTCTTTGATGAAATGCATAATGATGGTATACATGATATTTTGAAAATTTTAATTGTCCGATTGACTTCTAAGTTGGCACATGTATTCTTGACAAGATTATCTAAGGTGCAACATAGGATTTTTTTTAGATATAATTAACCATTTTCTTCCAATAAATGTTTACAGCTAAATTTTTTAGACAAGAATCAAATTCTTCCTTTCAATTTGTTGTTATTTCCACAATTTTTCATCTTTACCAAAATCTCTAAGTTATGCTCTAAATAATCTTGTTAAGAATATATATGTCAAATTAAAAGTCAATTAGATAATTGGTTTTCGAGATATCATGTATACTATCAGTGCGAATTTCAGCAAAAGAGCTTTGCGGTAGATTTTATATATAACTTGGCTAGTTTTTAATATTCCTTAAAACCATTTTCACAAAAGTTTCATCAAACTATACTGAACTAAACTGAATATTATAAATAAAGAAAATTATAGTTATAATTTATAATTTATAGTTGCATTGAAAAAAAAATGAAATTTCTGACATCTTTTCGGGTTCCGAAAAAAATGGCATGATCTCTTAAAAGAACTGTCACTAAGAACGGTAGACTGACAAAGTTTTTTTGTCCTGTTAAAAAGAATATTAAAATAACTCCGAGTAACAATCTATTCAAACCGACCAAAGTGAGCTCTTGTATATGTAGAGCGAAAAAGTTGCTCAAAACGCGGCATTGAAATATTCCTTCCTAGCACACTGAGAAGAAAAAAAATGCTTGAAAATGTATTTGTAGGATCTAAAGTTTGTTTCCGTGAAATAAAATTTATTTCTATGAATAAACTTTATATTGCATGATCATAAATTTTCGAGTATCTCTCTTCACGGTGAAAGAGATATTGTATTTATAAAATCGATTCGTATACATAAAAATGTTTTTATGTTACATTAATTTTTATGTTACATGTTTAACATACCCATATGCTAATTTAACGTATTATCATTACGTAATTTTGATTATACTGCCCTGAATCTATATTCACTATTTCCAAGTGCTAATAACGCAATTTACATGTAATATACATATTTTTGGTGACATATTTTACATGTAAAGTATATGGATAAATCACGTGTTATTTGTCAATGCACTTGTCTTGTATTAAATTAGCACAAAAATTTGAATAGATAAATTAGAACACGTGAAATATGTTAAATTTAACACAAAAATTTAGCATGTAGACTCGCAAGGAGTAGTGGAACTTAGGCAAACTTTCATCGCCTGATGATTACATTAATGTCATTCGAGTGAGAAGACGAAAAAAAAACATTTGGAAATGTGATTAATATTTGAGATACATAAATCGCAGCAAGCGCGTAGAGGATGTTGTGCGTCAACAATTTTCTTGTTTTTTTTTTTTTGAGAAAGCCATCGATCTTCATCCGCATTTCACATTCGAAATATTGATCTGTCGTTTTCAATTTCACACTTTATCGACGAAAAGCAACGTAACGCTGAGAATACATCGTCATTGCGCTTCTCATTTCCATACTCTAAGGCGCGGAAATACTTTACATTCGAAATATCAGTTCGCCCTTGTCGGGATTTTAAATGTCAAAAGAAGCCTCTTTCCCCTACTGTTATGGCTGTTTGTTCATTCGGACGGGTCTTTGTAGTCAAAGAGACTCGCAAAATGCTCGCGCCGAGTCGACCTCACGTAACAGAAGAAACAGGAGTTGCGTTCTGATGATACCGGAACACACCGCATAGTGAAATCGAACGTCACGTCGAGGCAGACGACTCTTCGAGCGTATCTTCGCACACGTAACATTTCCCATCTCTCGTTTCTAGGAAGGACCGACTCCCGACTGTACCGCACCGCGAACTTCTCCGCAAACTGTGACTTAACGTTTTCCCCAAAAAGCAAATGACTGAGTACTGAGAACCCAAAAAGGTCACGATTGAACGATCAGGTGGTTAGATCCTCCCGTCTTCGAGTCTCGAGATTCTCGCGCGAATCAAATTATAGATCCCCAAACTCTATTAATAATTAAATCATTGTGTGTGAATTTTTTCATCTATATTTTTTAAACTAAAATTTTTGGATTTCTTTTGAATTCTATTAGACCAATTTTTTTCTCGCGGAAATACTGAGTAGTAGGAAGCGAAGGGAAGATACTTCCGTGTATCGCAACGACGTGAGAATTGCAAAAAATCGCGGATTCGTGAATCCAACGATCCACAGATTAGTCGATTGTTCTCTAAGCATATGAAGAGGCGAGCGCGCGTTCGCGCGCTGTAATAATACTGTAAGGAAATCCCACGACGATACCGCGCCGTGATGTGAAAGACCGAGAGAAATATACTTTCTAAACGGCACCGAGGAAAATGCAAGTTAAACGTGCTCGCGGCAGGAGCATTGTTTTGTCTTTCGCGGCGCGAATCTGTAAGGTCAACAGTAGCAATCGTCGTCGCAGCTTTCATCTAGTACTTTCCACCAGGCTCATTATGATTAATACACCAAAAATTACGAATCGCACTTCGCAGCACCTTTATCTATCACAAGCAGTACCTTTCGTCAGAATTCCTCACAGGAATTCATATGTAAATATAATGTAAAAAATGTCACATATTATTGTAAAGTATCTGGTAACTATCGAATATTTTGAAGTATTTAACAAGTGTCAATATAACACTAAATTTTATAAGTATTCTATTAAACCGACTATAAAGCGTCACAATCGAGTGAACTAATCGTGAAAAATTTCAACAGTAGCAGTCACCGTCGCCGTCGCAACTTTCATCTGGTACTTTCCACGAGGCTCATTATGGTTAATGCACCAAAAATTGCGAATCGCACTTCATAGCGCCTTGTACCACATCTATCACAAGCAGTACTTTTCATCAGAACCTTATAAAATTCCTCGCAGAAATTTGTTACGTAATAAATATGAAAAATGTCATATTATTATGAAATATTTGAAAACCATCGAATATTTTGAAGTATTTAACACAAGTGTCAATATAACACTAAATTTTATAAGTATTCTATTAAATGGATTATAAAGTGTCACAATCAGGCTCGAGTGAACTAATCGTGAAAAATTTCAGCTACATATACACCATTATATCACCCAAAAAACATAAGCTTATTCTTAGCGGAATCCTTTAAACCATAGAGGATTTTACTCTTACATTTGGTCTCAAGGGGATTCATGTAAAATCAAAAAGAAAATATTCTAAGTACAGCATTTTCAAAGTTAGGGAAAAGTGTTCTTAAAATTAGACGAATGTCGTCTTACGTGGGCCAATCTTTTCGCGCATGTGTAGCGTAGCGATGCATCGAAATTTAAGTTATACGCCTGCAAATACAGTCAAACTCATATACCAGTGAGAAAACTTAAAGTTCAGTAAAAAAAGATTAGCGAACGATTGTCACACGCTTTACACGTTTGTGGCCTTTAATGACTTCGATCTCGACCGGTGAACATCTTCCTTTTAGACACGCTCAACTGTTGACTTGACTTTGAAAAGATCATGCGGCAGATATTCATCTCAATGGCTCAGACATTATCCTTGTGACTTAAGCTTATGTAATGTATTCTTATAATGGTGTAGTACGAAGCATTGTAATGACAACATTTTCGAGACTTACAGCAGATTATAAATTGCGACTCGGATGGCTTCAGCTTATCACACACGGCAGAGCGATACTGTTAGTAGCGTCTCTCATATAGCGCGTAAGAGGGCATTCTGCTTCGAGTAATCATGTTCCTCTTGATTCAAGAGGAAAAAAGTTAGATAAATATCTAGTAGCTCTCAGATTAATAATCCACTTCATTAGAAGATACTATTTCG